AACACTCCCACTAATGGAGCCCAAGATGCCTTTAGCCTTCTTGGCAACAAAGGCACACTGCTGGCTCATATTCAACTTATTGTCCACTGTAACCCCCAGGTCCTTTTCTGCAGAACTGCTGCCCAGCCAGTCAGCCCCCAGCCTGTCCCGGTGCAGGGGATTGTTTCAGCCTAAGTGCAGGACTTTGCACTTATCCTTGCTGAACTTCACAAGATTCCTTTTGGTCCAATCCTCCAATTTGTCTAGGTCACTCTGAATCCTAGCCCTGACCTCCAGTGTATCTACTACACCCCCCAGCTTGGTGTCATCTGTGAACTTGCTGAGGGCGTACTCTATGCCATCTTCCAGGTTGTTGATGAAGACATTGAACAAAACTGGCCTCAGGACCAACCCCTGGGGCACTCCACTTGATACCACGTGCCAGCCATTGATTACTGTCCTCTGAAATTGATGATTCAGCTGGTTTTCTATCCACCTTAGACCCATTCATCCAACCCGTACTTTCTTAGCTTGCTTGCAAGAATGTTGTGGGAGACAGTATTAAAAGCTAAAGTCACATCACTTTACACATCTCATATCACATCTACTGCTCTCCCTGCATCCACAGAGCCAGTCATCATAGAAGGCAATAGTGTTGGCCAGGCATGACTTGCCCCTGGTGAATCCATGCTGACTTTTCCTGATTACTGTCTTCTCCAGGTGCTTAAAAATGATTCCTTGAGGACCTGCACCATGATTTTTCCAGGGACTGAGGTGAGGCTGACTGGTCTGTAGTTCTTCCTCTCTTAAAGATGGGCACTAAATTTGCCCTTTTCCAATCATCCCCTAATTGCCACGAGTTTTCAAAGATAATGGCTAACAGCTGTGCAATCCCATCAGCCAACTTGCTCAGCACCCTCAGGTGCATCGCATCTGGCCCCATGGATGGGTCCAGCTTTTCTAAACAGTCCCTAACCTGTTCTTTCATCACTGTTGGCTACTCACCTTCTACCCAAACTGTGCTGCCAGATGGAGTAGTCTGGGAGGTGCCCTTGCCTGTGAAGACTGAGGGAAGAAAGGCATTGTATACTTCAGCCTTTTCCTTATCTGTCACTAGGTTGCCTTTCCCGCATTCAGTAAGGGACCTGCATTTTTCCCTGATCCTCCTCTTGTTGATTTACTGGTAGAAACCCTTCTTGTTACCTTTCATGTCCCTTGCTAGCTGCACTTTGGCCTTTCTGATTTCATCCCTCTATGCCTGAGCAATACTCTTCTCCTCCTCCCTAGTCATATATCTAAGTTTCCACTTCCTGTAAACTTCCGTTTTGTGTTTTAGCTCACTGAAGAGCTCCCTGCCAAGTCAAGCTAGACTTCTGCCATAATTGCTAATCATCCTGCAAATTGGGATGGTTTGTTCCTGTGCCCTCAGTGACATTTCTCTAAAATAGGTTTCTCCAGCTCTCCTGGACTCTTCTCTTCCCCTCAGACCAGTCTCCCAGGGGATCCTCCCGTCCGTTCCCTGGGCGAGTTGAAATCTGCTTTGCTGACGACCAGAGTTGTGGACATTGGACCACTTACTGATTTGGTCTGAAAAAAACCAGCAGCTTCATAGCTAATAGGTGGCAACATATAACTTGGTTAGATAATAAGGAAAATAAACTAGATATTCCCATAGGCATGTGCCTCCAAAAAGGAGGAGGGCAATTTAATGGCCAAATGTGGCTTAGACATATATTGGGGGTAAGGAGGGACAGATTGAGTATGCATGAATCATGCATCAAAAAGATTTATAACTTGCCCATAACCTTTCTCGATGGGTCAGGATATAACTATTATTCCTGTTACTGTTATTCTTATGTGAACAGATTTTCATGAGGAAGGGAAGAATATCAACTGCCGAATATCAAATCTTTGCTTTATAGTGTGGCAGCCCAAGGGTGCTCTAATGAACAGGCTGCCAGAACCTGTTAAACTTTAACATTTTTTTTCCTAGCTCATTCTGAGAAATGGCAGAGGTTGAGGTTTAGCCCCCCGAGCCCAATCCCAATGTGCAGGGCCTGATCTGGCCCACGAACCTGCCCTGCGCCATTCAGAACAGTGAGCATCACTACTAGAAGCAACTGAAAGTAGAGTCTTGTAATACAAGGTGCTGCCAGTCACGCTTACAATACATCTGTATTTATATGAGAGAAGAGGTAGTTATCTGCATTAGTCTGAAGTCTGACAGAAGCCGGGGTAGACGTACCTTATAGACTGACTGAATTGGATATGCGTAAGCTGTCTCTTTGTACAAGTAATGTGTTACATAATCACATTGCCCTTTTTTTCTTCCCTTTTATATTGTTATGCAGTCTTATAACTCTGGAAGACGACTCAGGTAAGTTGTTTTTCCACTTTATAACAAACTAGAAATTACCATATTTACTCAGTGAGAACATGAGGTTTCTCCCCTTCTAACATGGGGGGAAAAAGCGCCTCGCCTTACAATAAAGTATGAAGTGGGAGGTGTGGGGGGCAAGCAACTGTTTCGGGTCTGGCTCCAGCTCCAGCTCTGGTTCCAACCCAAAGCTGGATCACGGCGCATGTGCTCCAGCCCAGCCCTATAGCAGCCGTGCCAGCTTTGTGCTGCTGCTGTGGGGCTGGTCTGGAGCCATGCACAGTGCCCCAGTTTGCAGCAGAGATGGAACCGACTGACATGGAGCAAAGGTGAACGTAGGGAGGGGCAGGTAGAGATTTGCTGGGGGGCTTGGGGTTGGGTGAGCATGTGTCCCACGTTTGCA